CACGCTGCCCAATTTCCACGTACCCCGGTGCGAAAAACACTGCTGGAGCGAGGCAGCCTGGGCTGCGCGGGGACCTGCTCGCAAAGAGCAGCTTCTGGGCTTCCCCTGGCTCGACAGCTGCGTGCACCCACCACGCTGCTGTGTTTCCCACCTCCTCCTTCCCTCCCCACGGGGACTTCGGCCAGGTTGGGTTGGAGGACTTTGTCGTCGCCTGGGATGCCTTTTTCCCCCTTGCCAGCCCACGCAAAGCAGCAGGAGGGCTGAGCGGGTTGCAGATGCCAGGCTGCAGCATTTACCCGTGCAGCTCTGTCCGGAGAAACGCTGCACGGGAGCGCAGTGAGACAGGAGCCGCCCCGCAACGCTGCGGGACGAGGGGTTTTGGAGAGGCTCGGCCCGCCGGAGGCGCAGTCAGAGCCGCCCCGAAGCACGTGCTTGGCACCCACCTCCCCCGGAAAACGGGTTTTTCCGTTATAACGCAACACTCAGCTCTGCCGTTCCCACGAGAGAGAGACGGGGCAGCCAAAGGGACTCGAACGGGTTTGCAGCTCGCCGTCCACTACTGCAACGAAAGAGATCTGGGCTCTGCTTCCAGCTCTCGCATAAGTTACCCGCCGGCACGTCGAGCCCATCCGAGGGGCGGAGAAGCAGCCCCCTCGCAAACACTGGCGCGGCAGGGGGATGCTCAGCACCCAGCGACACAAGTGCTGCACCCACCTCCATCTCCCCAGCCTCTCCGTCACCGGAAAGCAGCTGCAATCCTCTCTTCCACCTCCAAAAATCAGGGGCGAACCTACGCCCTGAGGAGGCACGGCCAGCTCCTTCACCCCGGCTGCAAACCCCACCGCCGGGTCAGAGCGCGCTTACCTGATGTGACTTTACACCCTTTGCCAGCACGACAAATCCTAGTGCCTAAAAGCATCCTTTCGCTTTGCCGAGCGGATTTGCTATGCCCGTCGGGTCGGAAAGGCGACGCGCTCTTTTGTAACCTTAAAAACTACCCAGGTCTCTGCAACGTTGCCAGCAGCACAGCCGAAAGGGACGTTTTCGTGCAACTGCAGATCCCCGGAGGCACGGGGGACGTCGCAGCCCTCGCCCCTCGTCTCCGCCAGCCCCCGACTCTGCAAACCTGGAGTGAGGGGGGACAGTGGCCCCCTGTGCACCACCCCGGCAGCTCCTCCCCTTGCAAAGCGTGCCGGGGGAGGGGGGCAAAGCAAAGCACCCCTCCCCACCCGGCATGCAATACCCCTTTCCTGCAAAACCCATCTCATAAGCACAATTAGGGGAGGCGAGTGCAACCGCAGGGCAAACCCCAGAAGTAGCGCACAGTAGAAGCCCCAGAGACCGCACGCAACGCGACGCTGGGGAAACGCATAGCGCAAGCCTGGGCTGGGCACAAACCAATCTGGGGGACGTGCACAGTGCAAACCCCAGAGCCCGTACGCAACGCACGACCGGGCAAACGCAGAGTGCGAGCCCAGGCTGTGCACGACCCAACCCTGGGGAAACGCACGCTGCAAGCCCCGGCGGCCGCACGCAATGCAACGCAACGCAA